AAATTCATTTGGAATAATTTTATTAGGCATATTGCCATAAAATAGCATTTTTAACCTTAAATTAAAATATTGTCTTAAAAGTGTCTTACTTCAAAAATTTGGGTCCGAAAAGAATCACTGCAAAACCATTAGGCAACACTCATTAGGCGCGTTGGGCATTTTTGAAAAACAAGCACACTGCGACACTGTTACCGTTCCCGACACCTATGTATATAGACATAATTGGCCACGAGAGTTGAGTTTGGGTTGAAATACATTGATAATATAACATATGTTTACATTATATATAGTTATATATAATGTAAACATATGTTGTGTATATACGTACAACATACTCGTATAGATATATATTCATGTCGGCACTTTTCGAAACGAAACAAAAACAAGATTTCACTTACGCTACAGACCGTTTTAAAGAAATACACACATACTTGGTACACACATACTCAAACCACTAAACCCACCTTTTGGAGCAGTCAGGTAAAAATTAAACAATAACCAAATTTATTAGTTTCTTAAGAAATTATAGAACTTTTTTCTGTTTTAAAAACAAGTACAAAAATTTGCAATATGGCTTTATGACCGATTGTATTAAAAGTATGATATGCATAAAAAAGTTCCTTCACGAGTATAAAGTTATGACTTAAACAATATTTTGCTCAAAAAAGTGTGAAAATAAACCTAATAGGTCTATAAAAACATCTTATTTTATTAATTTGGATACTTTCCTTGTTGTGTAAACAGTTCTATTTTACATTTTGAGCGTTTAACTAACCTCGACAAAGAAAAATTTACTTCAACGTCTTCACTTTTAAGTTGAAAATAAAATGCTTCGTCATTTTTGAAGTTTTCTTATTTCTCACATTAAAAAGTGGCTTTTATCGAAGGCAAAAGAGTGGAGTGGAGAGGCAAAAGTCTGTTATATACAAAGTAAGTATTAGACTTGTTTTTGGACTGGTTTTACTTTTTACTTTAAAATGTGCTTCGAAAATACCCGCGGAAAGAAATACACAACAATTATAGTATTTTGTTTTAATGCATTTAGTTATGTGTATATGGTCATCATCATCATGAACCGCCTTTAATATGAAATAAGCTATGTTAAGTGCTCGTAGGCCATAAAACATTAGGAAGGAGGTTTTGACCTACTGGAGGTTTTTTTTAAGTTTTCTTTCTCTTTGCAGTGTTGTTGTCTTGCAGAGTTTGCTCCCTTAGTCGGCTCTTACCACACCCACAGGATGAATAGGGGTGGTGACACTCCGTATCCTTAATCCGTCACCACACGGAATATCGGTCTTAAATACCATTTAACGAAGACACATGTCATAATAGGTACGTAAATACTTTGTTCGGGGTTTGGATCAGGTTCTGTACATCGATGGTTGATAGAATAAAACATAAAAAAACCATCCCTATAAATTAGTTCCAAGATAGGACCAATTTATAGTAATAAGAAGATTATTACCTTGAATACGGAATGCTCATTTGCACTTCTAGAGTAATAGCAAAAGGCGGTGGTGTGCCGCGTAGTAGGCGTTTAGTAGGTACATCAATATTAGATAGGGTGGGTTCGGGCCCTTGTAACAGCGATTAGATGCAGATTGAAATAGAGTTTTGGAATAAAAATCACGTGATCGCGTAGTACTTGACGCGAGACTTATAAATTAGTTATTTGATATTCTTTATTTATTAATATAACTTATTGACTGCACGGATGGCGTAGTGGTTTAAGCGGTCGCCACGCCGCTTCCTACGACAATTTGTGTGATCCACAAATTGTAGAGATTTATAATTTAAAAATGATATAAAGACCCAACGCGCCCTTTGGGTCTTTATATCATCATGAACCTCATAGAGACAAATAAGTGGAGTATGATGGTACGTGGAACCAATGAGAATTTTCTTTGGTAAAATAATTAGTCTTTACTAATATTATAAAGAGAGCTTTTCAAGAGCTGAGAATCGAACGCCGAATTAACCTTCATCGATGAACAGTTCGTTGAAAACACACTTCGTCCGAAGTTGGTTCTACAAATTATAGTTCTCCCTTGAACCGTTCGCCGAAAATACCCTTGGTCCGTAGTCAGTTCTACAGCTAATAGTTAACCAATGTACAATTCCGTGTGGCGAGGGATTGAGAATACGGAGTGTCACCACGCCTATTCATCCTGTAAGCGTCGTAAGAGCTGACTAAGAGAGCAAACTACGCAGGATAACAGCAACGCAAAGAGAAGGAAAACTTGACACAAACCCTATACCACCGCTTCTGACCACAGTGGTATAGTAGACCAACACCTGCACGGTGAATCGTAAAAACGACCATGAATGAAGAATATCATAGCCGAACCTGCAACGATTGTTTCATTCGATGGGTACTATGAGGAAGGGTATTATCGACGAACAATGCATTGGTGAACTATTACGTGTATTTTTTTCGAACCGTTCATCGGTGAACTATAACTTGCAGGACCGACTTAGGATGAATGAGGTTTCGGTGAACCATTCGTCGGTAAAGTATTAAATAATTTGTAGAACCGACTTCAGACAAAGGGTGTTTTCAGCGAACAGTTATTTCACATCATCACATCAACAGCCTTTAATAGTCCACTGCTGGACATAGGCCTCTCCTTAGAAAGGAGGTTTTGGCCTACTATACCACGCTGGCCAGACGGGTTGCTATAGGGATTGTATCAAGTTTTCCTTCTTTTTGCAGTGCTGGTGTCCTGCGTTGTTTTGCGCCCTTAGTCGCCTCTGACGACACCCACGGGATGCATTGGGGTAGTGACATTCCGTATTCTTAATCCGTCACTAGACGGACAGTTATTTGATGAAGATTAATTCGGCATTCGGTTCAGATAAAAGAAAACCAACAACGTGTGATGTTCTGACTAATCGCTTATTTCGGGTCCACACCCGGAGCATTTAAGTGCCACCCGCAATGTTTAATGTAAATAATATTAGGCAAGACCTATTTAGACCACTAATAAGATGAAAGGTGTTTCGGAATTTACGATTATATTGCCCACATCCATTAAGTACCGCATTTCTATGGAGTTTTATGTTTAGTGCTCACAGATTTAGCACTTCTATCGTTATTTTCTTGTAGTAATTATTAGTTTATGTGATATTTTCGTTTCCTTAAATCTATACTATCTATACAAATAAATAAAATTGAAATGTCTGTTTGTAATGTAAAAATAATAGGTTTTTTTCATGTTCACACGTTGTTATTTGCGCGATACCTATGCCTAAAAACCACTTTAATTGGTTTTTGTCTGTCTGTCTGTTTGTTCCGGGTAATCTTCTAAACGGCTGGACTGATTTATATAATATTTTACTACCAGGTAGCTGTCTATATAAGGAGTAACTTAGGCTATTTTTCTCTTAGAAAAACCCTAAAAAAATTTGCCCGGTCCGGGAAACGTACCTACAAAGGCAGGGCTTAGCTAGTAATATTTTAAAGCTAAAGAGTTTGTTTGGTTGCACACGTTAATCTTAGGAACTAATGGTTCGAAAAAAAATATATTTTAGTGTTGGTATACTTATTCTCTGATGCAGACGACGTCAGCTAATCGGATACAATTATGTAGGTACAGGTAGATGAATTAACATGATCTCGTAACAGTTGTAGCATACATTTACAATAATTATACGTAAACTGATTGTAAGGACGATTATGTGAGATTATCCGTGTGGTGACGGCTTAAAAAAAGAGCCGACTAAGGGAGCAAACTACGCAAGACAATTCAAAGAGAAGGAAAACTTGACACAAACCCTATATCAACACGTTTGGTCAGCGTGGTATAGTAGGCTAAAACCTCCTTTATAAGGAGAGGCCTATGTCCAACAGTAGAATACTAAAAGCTGTTGATAATGATGATGATGGACCAGATTGTAATGGGCGTGGTTGCCGGCTGATTGAAGCTTCAGGAACAAGACATAGAAATTAGTGCTACTTTTAAATCATATTCATTTGATGTAATGATTGGTTTTAGTCATAGCGATTTCACATGTGAATGGGATTTCGTCACAGACAAGGCTAAATAGCATTAAAATGAATCAAAATAATTTTTATCAAAGATTACAACTACTAACTAAATAATTAAGTCGCAGTGGTTTGTTAAATCAGTCGGGTGTGATGGTATGATTAATAAATCATATGATTTATCACATGTGTTTGTCATTTTATTTCGTCCCTGTCAGGAACTTCTGAAAATACATTATGAACTAACACGATCACTTAATTCATGAATTTACATGGGTGAGCCATTCCTCTGCTCGTACAGACCTGCTCTACCGGAGTGATACCACGGACTCACAGAAAACTAGTGTTAAGCAATTCTTTCCTTGGTTTTCAACGAGTAATTGGGTTACCAGAGGAATTCAAAGGACTAGGTTGTAGGTGACCATTGATATCGGTATCCACTTACCATCTAGTGGCCTGTTTGCTAGTCTGCCCTCTATATTAAAAAACAATTTGTGTTGTAAATATGGAAACGCGTTATTAAACAAGAAATCTTTGCTCTTATAAACTCGGCTCCCTAAAAAATAAAAATGCAATACAAATTATATTATCAATAACAATTCAATACAAATACTCAGACCGGATCTTTGTAAAATATAAGATATCTAGAATCCCTTTATAGTACTTATGTATTGAAACAGGCAACTGAAATTTAAATTACCTGTAAAAAGTTCAATTGAAATAAATTATTTTGATTTTTGTAGGGACTGTCCTTTATCTCCAATAATGACATTTATTGAGAGCATGACTAATTATCAAGATATATTGAATAATTTAATTGAAAAAACTGTAATAATACACCCAATTAATTTGTAGATTTTTAAGTTGAATACTGGTCGTAGAATTTCTGTTTAGGCAAAAACTAAACGCAACGTTTCCATTCGTTATCTGTAAAAGCTTTTATGTCAAATGTCAAAACAAAACATTTCATAATCACACAAGATTTTATTTTTACGATATAATTATTCTGATAATAATGGATGATTACGAAACTGTGTATACAACAATATGCCGTGTGTGTTTATCACAAAGTAGTACCGAAAAAATGGTGCCTTTAATTGATAAATCGGACAATAAAGGGCTCAGTTCTTTTGGCAAAGCTATCACAATAGTAACCAATGTTCTGTTAGAAAAAGATGATAAATTACCAAGCATGATGTGCCAAAAGTGTGTTTATTTACTAAAATGTGCAGTTTATTTCAAGTTAAAGTGTGAATCCACGAACCATAAGTTAAAACGTTTTATAAACACGGATATAAACAATGACATTTCAGACCATAATATTAAAGAAAAAGTATGTGAATATGTTATTTTCAATCAATATTTCTCTTTAGACGCTAGTTATGATGCGTCAAGCAGTTGTGTAGAAAAAAAAAGTGTCGATAAACTTTGCAATGTAGACCAAGAGAAAGTTCCTAGTTCATCCAGTAATCAATTGGCTGAAGATACAAATTCAAGTGACAAAATATACGACTTTGATTCTTATACTGACGATGATGATAATATTGACCGTATAAACGATAAACAAGAATACTCAAAAGATATCAACAATATATTAGACACAATACAAGATATAATTAACACGGGCACAAATGTAACAACTTTTAAAAGGCAAAAGATGAAAAGAAAAAAAGAAAAATATTTTTCTAAACCACAAAACAATGAACGTAATTTAATCTGCAAGATATGCAACAAAATTCTTGCAAACCGTTTAACATATGACCATCACATGCAACGTCACAACTTTTGTCGATTCATTTGCGACCAATGTGGCAAGGGCTTTCCAGTTCTTGCAGAAATGCATATGCATCAAATTGCAAGACATGGAATTGGACCATATTTACAATGTGATCATTGTCCATATAAGGCTCCTCGTAAGTTAAATTTAATTGAACATTTGAGAATACATACTGGAGAAAGACCGTTTACATGTGAAAAGTGTGGGTTGACATTCCGTCGAAGAGCAATATGGAGAAATCATCTAGTTTGCCATATGGAGAAGACTCATCAATGCACGTATTGCCCTAGAAAGTTTTTTAGGCATTCGCAAATGCTTGCTCATTGTAATAACGTTCATGAACGATTGTATATGTTCATGTGTAGTGTTTGTAGTGTTACTTATACAAAGACGGAGACAGTTAGACGTCACATGGTTGTGAAGCACGGTATTCCAAGAGAAAAACAAGGTAGGATTTCTCGGGTTAGTAATGGTAATAATGAATTTCCTGGAAAAATAATTTAATTTTTTTTGTTGTCTTATAGCAATAAGTGATCATGTATACTTTTAATTACTATATTGTTGCTGCACCTGCTGTATTCTACATGTATGTATCTTTATTTAAAAGTGTTTTCAATTTTGTCATGTTTTTTCGGATAAAAATCATGATGAACTGAAATACAGCGTAACCAAAAACCTGACAAATATAGTTGATTGGTTAACAAGCAATACCTTAATTATTAATTTGGAAAAATCCAGTTTAATGCTATTTAGAAACAGAACTAGAGCTCCTTTGGATTTTAAAAACGAGTTCTCAGGTAAACAAATAAAAGAGGTTGACTTTGCAAGGTTCCTTGGCCTGGATGTTGGTTGCAACCTAAATTAGAAAGTACACATTGAAAACCTATGCTCTAAACTTAGTAAAAGCTAGTATACTCTGTATATGTTATCAAAAACAGCTAATACATTTATGGTTGTAACAGCATATCATGCATGTGCAGAATCATTAATGAGCTTTGGTATAATCTGTTGGAGAAACTCTACTAACTGGGAGTATGTTTTTAAAGCACAAAAGCAAAGTATTAGAGCCATTTATAGACTTAAGACTACAGACAGCTGTCAACCAAATTTTTAAAAGTCTTAATTTACTCACTCATGCATGTATATATTGGAAGTGGCATTGTTTGTGAAAAAAAATATGCACTTGGTCACTCATTTAAATGGCTGTCAACGTGAATTTAAAATAAAAATGATGGCTAATAGAACATGGCTTGTAAATAGAAGCATATTTTGTATGTCGTCTAGGATTTATAACAAACTTCCTGTGAATATATGTAAATTGGATAGCATAAGTGAATTTAAATTGAAATCAGAGATTATATTACAACAAAAAATATACTAGTGTTAATGAATACTTAGAAGACAAATATCTAAAATAATTAATATGCTTTTCTTTTCTAAGTTCTATCTACTACTATCTAGTTTATTTGACTCATGATCTACTTATCATGATTATTGTTATTTTTTGACACAAATTTTGACATACCATTTATTTTTCATATATATAATATACGAGTAATTATATAAATCTCACACATCTCACACATGTCCGTCTGATCCCAAACTAGGCAGAGCCTGTACTATGGTAACCAGACTGCTGATAAATATACTTATATCTTTTTAAACAGATACATATTTTAGATAAATTACACCCAGACACAGAACAAATGACCGTGCTTATCACACAATATTTGTCGTGGGTGGGAATCGAACCCACGACCACCGATTTAGCAGTCGGGGCAATAACCAGACCAACATATACATGTGACTTACGAATTATATTTGAAATGTTTTAGTAAAATTGTAAAATAACAAAAGTATCTTGAAATAACAAAAGTATCTCTTCGTTGTTTTTTCAACTTTAAGTCCTTAATAACGGACATACTAGCACACATCAAAACAATGTTGTGATATATTTAATAGTGCCATTGTATCTACTTGTGAATTGCAAAAGAGTGGCCATGAGTTTGTTTGCCCTTTCTTCTCATAAGGCTCAACCCCTTGGAAACGGGCGGTTGTAGATCGGCACAGGCATATCATAGATTTTGTATGGGTTTGATTTTTGTTAAATTTATTTGGTTACTATTTGACAAAACAGATATTGTTGCTTTTGTGTGTGTTGATCTATGACTTTAGAGTCTACATGGAAGACGATTTCAAACAATTTTGGAAATTTTATGAAATAAAGAAAGTTTGAGTTGAGTTGAGTTGAGTTGAAAATATTTGCATGCCACAAGGAATATGAAGGAACAAAAATTATCTTTGTAAAAACTTTACTATTGTACGTAAACGTACCGAGGCTGTATTCATGTCACAGACACGAAAGGAACACAGACAATAAAATGACACTGCTACTGTTGTCATTCATTCATTCATTAGTAAAGGGTTGCGTTCCAATTCAACAATTATTATTATTAAATTCAGTTAGTATAATGTTGATCCATTCTTTTTATGATGTTCCAATTGACCATATTATAACATGTAAATAGATATTATTATTTATGAATATATTTTACCTAAATATTTTAACAGTTTTACAAATTCATCTGAAATTAAAAAAAAATACTGTATTTTGAAATTTGTAAAATATTAAATCTAGTCACTGCCTTGCTCCTGGTGGTAATAAAACATTTTCAACTATTGTCAAATTACCATTATCAAGAATTGGAATTTATGTATTTTAAAACCTACCCCAATTAATTCGGAAATCAAAACATTCTTCTAAATTTAACTTATAGTTAAAAGTTTACTAGCTGAATGTTTTTTTTAAAGGTCTGGCCTCTAAAAAAACACTATTTAGCTATGTATAGATTGAGTCCCTGTAGCCATTTAAATGTCACTGCAATAATACTATGAATGCAATACATGATGGAAATATATTATGTTTATTAAAATGATGATGCTTATATAATAAGATTATACATTTATAATAGTAATAATTATCAGCAACTTTATTCAGAGATTTTAACATGTTTTTTTATTTTTATTTTTGTTGTTTGTCCGTCGACATAGGCCTCTTTCAAGCTGTTACTTATAAATTAATACAAAAAAAACATTTTGTATCATAAAACAATTAGATCATTAATATAGTAAAATTGCAATTTTTTTAAAGTTAAGTATTATTTTTTATAAGATATGTATGTATACATTTCTATTTTTAAACTTAAGATATTACTTTCTGTTAAGATTTTATAGATGTGTTTTCAGATTTTGTTCTAGATGTTTGTTTCCTCAAACAGGTACCGTCTAGTAAATTTAATATGTTTTTTAAAACAATATATACTCAAACACAATATAAATAAATCAAATATGGTATTTTCAAGACTTTTCCTTTTGTTTTATTTTCAAATCAAATAGCACTGCCTTTTTCTCGTGCACACTTTTCCACTCCTTTTCACAAAATCACACATTGCAAGAAAAATTTTCCACATCAATAATTAAATATGAATTTCTATGTGTACTAAAAATGGTATATCAAGGTATATAAATTAAGTTTTATACCATGTTGCGGGCTGACTAAAGACCTAGCCAGACAGCAGACGGGATGGGCAGCACCGGAATCAGAGTCCTTGAAGTACACTAGCTAGATAAACAAGCTGACAAATACTTTTATACTTTTTTTTTAACAAAGACAACTCCCGTATTACGAATTTTTATCCTGTGTCACGGAGGGCTTTACAAACATACATGAAACGAACACAAAGAACACCCAGACTCAGAACAACAATTTGTGGATCCCACAACACTCAGCGCAGTAGGAAGCGGCGTGGCTACCGCTTAAACCACTACGCCATCTATAGTATACTAACTAGTAGGTACATTAGAGAAGACCTTGCGTTACCATCTCGCATCGTTTGCTGTTTTTTTTTAACGTGTGGAAACCACCTGTCGGTGTGTTATCCGTGTGGTGACGGATTAAGAATATGGAGTGTCACCACCCACCCCTATTCATCCTGTGGGTGTCGTAAAAGCCGACTAAGGGAGCAAACTACGCAGGACAACAGCACTGTAAAGAGAAGGAAAACTTGACACAAACCCTATACCAACCCGTCTGGCCAGCGCGGTATAGTAGGCCAAAACCTCCATTCTAAGGAGAGGCCTATGTCCAGCAGTAGACTATTGAAGGCTGTTGATGATAAAAGCCTTGAAATCACAAGGTCCGATTCCTATCAGAGTCGTATGTCTGAGGCCGGCTGTTAAAGTAGTTTTAAGTTTAAACACCACATACTCCTGGCTCCTGAATCACCGCGATGGCTTTCCCCGAAAGTCGGCAATTGGAAAGGATTGTTGATGTTCTAGATGGTGTATTTTAATTATAAACCTGTCATCAATCATCATCAACAGCCTTTAGTAGTCTTCTGCTGGACATAGGCCTCTCCTGAGAAAGGAGGTCTTGGCCTACTATACCAAACTGTACTTACTAAAAATATTTAAATGCAAACCTCATATAACAACCGGTCCTGTGCTGCCCGCATCTAGCACCTTCCCGCGACCTTCACCTGGTCGTCATATTACCTTGTTGTTGTGGCGAATTGTCACCTCTTTCGGCTGTGGTGATGATGATGATGAAACTACATACATGTATACAGATACTGTTTACGGGTTTATTTAAAAATATCACACGCAGATCATTAACATTATAAATGTATGTACATCTAAATAGATAAAAGCTGTAAAAAATTGTACTAATTGTTGTTGTGTCCAAATTTCTCAATTTTACCTTAAACACATACAAGAAGTATTTTGTAAATAACTTTACACAGTACAAAGCCTCGCACAAAACACTTTAATTTGGGAATGCCTCCAAATAACATACGAGTAGGGACGTACGGTTCAGTTACAGTTCAAAATTTGGTGGAATTAATCCGTTGAAGCACATAGTATTACGGAATGTGTGGTAAACGGTGTGGTAGTTCAGATACGATGTTATTAGCATGACACAGTTCCAATGCATTTGTGGGCATGATGATTACATTGTCCAATTTTGTGTTTCGACGTCTACGTGAGTCAGATTACAAGGATTTATTAGTATAAATATTAAGTAGTTTTCTAATCCCTAATAACATATACCACACTAAATTAGAAAGTAACTCTTTCTGTCTGTATGCTACGCTTTCACGGCTAAAACTTATATTCTTGCATATTCTACTTTAACTGCGATGACCGACATACACGCAAGCGGAGATACGAGAAAAAACCAGTAGTCAAGAATTTAAGTTGAATAAGTACGCAATATCATAAAGTGGAATGCAATGGTGAAATTATTTTAAGTTTATTCAAAAGCAAATTCAAGAACTGACTAACCACTAGAACGTTATAATATGATCCTTTCTTCAATCATTTTATCAATATGTAGTATACTCGTAAAATGAACTCGCTTTTTTTCTTGTACGCTTAGCTCTTTTGAACTTCGCAAACCACTCTTTCTATCAAATCACACCCAGATACAGAACAAACGCAATATG